GTTGTTGGTTTTTAGGTATGGTTTGTGAGTAGGAGGAGAATTTCATGAGTGGATGTGTGACAGCATTCTTTGAAAAGAAGAATAGATTGTGTTCTCCGGTAATGAGAGTATCATTGATCAAAATTGTCTTTCGTGTTCGGGTTTGTGTGATTGGGATTGACCATGTCAGTCTTGAGTTGAGGAGATGGGCAGGCTTGCTATGTAGCCATGAGGAGTGGTGATTCCCTTAGAAACAGTGACGGTGTGATTCAATCTTGAGAAGTCCGGTGAGATTTCATTTGGGGTTTGTGTAGAGACCTCCGTGTTTGGGGTAAATGGTGTTGAGTGGCACACCAGTGTGTGGTTTACTGAGTGTGGTGGTTTATTGAGTTGATTAGTCAGCTTGTTAGCATCAGGTTTTAGGTTGGCATTGGTCACCTTGAGGATAGTCTTGATTGTTGTAGACATTGTATATGATTAGGGAAAACTGAAACTAATCGAATGTGTTCTGTCATTGAATTTGACGATTAGAATAATACAGCAAATCTGTGTATTAACTGATCATTGTATATGATAAGTGTTTAAATACATCTTTTATATATACCTTTGTTTGGGAGGAGATGGGGGATGGACTCCATTGATACACAATTATGCGTATCAACTGTAGCATTGAAATGTTTATTTGTGATCTGTAGTCTCATTCAATTGTTCGGCCAGGTTCTGAGCCATGTTTATGATCTTAAATTGGTCAAGTAGAGGAAAGTGGAATGAAATTGCAAAACCAAGAATTTCTTATGCCTTATGTGCTGATAGCAAAGTGTTTATTTTTATTAACTATCATTATAGAAATGTTATGTTATGTGTTGGTAGTGGCATCGTCGTGTGAGTGATGGATGTTGCTAGTGTTATTTTAAAAAGGAATGGAAGACAAATTCTTCCTAGTGTTATGGCCTTCTAAGGGCGTAGTTAAAAGGAAAATGTTGGGAATTTGATTTAATGTTAATGTTATGAGGAAATTCCAAATGAATAGTTTTTGGCAAATAAACTGAGGATGATTATGTGTTTTAGATAACACCGTCTTTGTGAAAAATGTTTACAAACTTTTGAGTTTCGCATGGAAAATGCAAGACTTATTTCGGAATGTCAACATTGACAATTTGACTATCTTTGAGAAATGTCTCACGAACAAGCAAATGATTTTCTTTATATTTATACAAAAGGTTTGCTTTGGTCGTTTTGTTGGGAATTATGATTGTTGATTAGTGACTTAGCTTGAAGCGCTAGTCGGATGTTAGTGATTGGTTTCGGGAAGGGTTTGGTTTTGTTGGAGCTTTTGTGCCTGAGTGTTGTCTTTTGGAACGTGTTTCCTTGGTAAGCCCTTCTTTGATGAGAGTTAACTAGAGGTTTGTTGTGAGAATAGTTTTTTTTTCCTAAGTGCTCGGGTGTTCAGTGCTTTGTGATCAGTTGGCCTTGTGTTTTGGCGTTTCCTTAATTTCGGAGACGAAATTCTTTAAGGAGGGGAGGTTATAACGATCTCAGTTTTCCCTCCATTGAGTATTGTATTCCGGACATGGTTCCGTAGATGTGGATTGTTGTATTTAGCTTGTTTCCGTCCTTCAATACTTTGTATTTGAGTTATAGGATGTTTTGGCCAGGTTCGTTTCAAGTTAGTTGTGATTGGAAGCATATGCTTGCTGTCCAGTTTTTAGCCTCTTCGCTCAAGCCAGGACTTTGTCGCTCAAGCGAGCCTTGTGTTGTTGCTTCTTCGCTCGAGCGAGGGTTTGTACGCTCGAGCGAGCTTTTCGTGTCTTCAGGTTTTGTTCAGACGCAGCCTTGGCTCGAGCGAGGGAGCTGTATGTTTTGGGCTTCTTCGCTCGAGTGAGCGTTTCTTTGCTCGAGCGTGCTTCTGGGTTGTAGACCTGAGGCTTCGTGTTGTTCGCTCAAGCAAGGTTTCCTTGTGTCTGGTCACTCGAGCGAGGAATGTATATATCAATTCGTAGTAGCAGCTTCTTCTTCACTTTTTGATTTCCCTTTTGTCTCAAAACCCTAGATTTGACTCTCTCTCTCTCTCTCTACACTCACCTTCTCTCTAGGGATTGATCTAGTACTTGGGTGTTCCTACCCTAATCTCTTTGTAAGAAAGATAGAGGGTTGCGTGGGCTTCGTTTTGATTCGAAAAACATTGGGATTGGAGCACTTCCAAGTTTGGCTCTTCTTCTCCTTGGGTTCTCCATTTGAGGTAGGGATTCTCCTTGTTCTTTTTCAATACTCCGTCTATAGATAGACATGTGGGGTAGTTTTGTATTGCATGAAAATCATATCATGTTGAATTTCTTTGAAAACCATGTGAGGGAACCTAGGGTTGGTTGTTTGAGAATGATTGTTTTATCATTGATAGTACTTTGGGCTAATTGGAGTGTAAATTAGTATGTTATTGTGGAAAGAAGAAAAAGCCCTAAATTATGTTTTGATTTGGTAAATTAAAATGGAGGGTAGTTGATCAATGTTTGTAAGTCTCTATTGTTAATATGAGTTGGGTGAAGGCGTTAATGCCTAAGGGATTAACTATGGCTTTGGGGTTGTTTCGAAATGAATGTATTGAATCGAGTCAGGTTATGGCTTTATAATGAATGGAATTGGTTTTGTGAAATGATAAAGGGGTTTTGAAATTGGAAAATCCTGGAAGTTGATCTTGGAAATGGGAAATGAAATGTTAACTTTATGTGAGTTTCAGAAAATAAATATGAGAGTTGAATAATTGAATCATGAGTGTTGAATACACACATTTGGGGGTTTTACCCTTACCTATCGTACTAGTGTTGTTGTTGGGTTTAAGATCTCATGAGAGTTGAGTCTTTATAATATGTGTATTAAAATCATGCATCTAAAGGTTTTGTCATTGGTCATTGGTGGAGGATGACATGATTGTGTTGAATTGTCGTGTATGCATTACACTTGTGTTGATTGAACATTGTATGTAATGAAGTGCTATGATACATTATATATGTACTCCAGTGTGTGGGAAGAGATAGGGGATGTACTCCACACACCTATGTGTTCATATACTTTAACACATTGCTTATGTATCTTGAATAGTTTATGTGTATGTATTACCCTTGTTGGTTATGTTCTGTTGTATTGTGATTATTGGTGTTGTACACCGCGCTTATAATCAGAGGTACCGTTACCTTCCCAGCTAGCGCCTGGAGAACTAACTGCGCTGAGAATCTAAGGTACCACACCCTTCCAGCTAGCGCTTGGTAAAATGGCATACCGTTGTGAGAGTTGTATCCTTGGCTTACTGTGCATATAGCCGATAGAGCAGAGTTTTATTATTTTTGTCTCAGTGTATCTGAGTATATCATGGATTGCTATGGTTACAGTTTTAGAGGGCCGAGTTACCTCATTTGTTGATTATATACATGTTGATGATTTGTTATCTCCCTTTTATTAAAGGCATGCATGTATAGATATGAGTGTATTGGGAATAAACCAAAATGCCATTATGAGATTTTGGGAAAGTGTGAAAGAAAATTGGGTATTTGAAAGTATGTTTTGAAAAATGAAAAATCTGTTGTAAGTATGGAAAATGGGAGAAAGGTAGTGGGCTTAGTGAAATTGTTTTTCTAAGATGTTGTTATTGTTATAGAAGTTTGGGAACCAGGGATAATGAAAAGAAAATAAAGACGAATCGCTTATCGCGGTGAATGAAATGGCTGTTTTTGAGAAAAGTTCATACTTATGTATATTTTTGTATAAGCTGCCACATTAGTATTCTAGTATGAGATTGAGCATTCATGATCATAGCTATCTGTAAGTTGTTATTGTTGAGGACCATGTTGAGATCCCTACTGGACTATATGTTCATCCCTCGTTGTTAAATCTTTTTTAGGTGATAGTCAGGATATGATACGAGATTTGGATCTTCTTATTTGTTGGCCACGGGGCCTCTTTTGTGTTGGCGGAGTGCCATCGTTGTAAAAGGGTTACACCATTCTTTTGATTCTTTAATGATTGTAAGCCTATGGGCAGTTTATTTAGAATGCTCATGTTATATGTAATTTGCATTCGAATGAGAGAATTACTATTTAATTCTACTAGTCGAATATTTGAGTTTATTTCCGCATGTTGTCTCTGAACTTGAAGTGAATTAATGGATTTGATAATAATTTCGAATAATAAAAAGTAGAGCGTGACAACTTTCACTATAATTCATAATTTTCGCTTTAGAAATACCCACTACTAGGCCCGGGCTCGAAACCCGCCCACAACTCGGGATGGGCCCAACCCGGTTAGGGTAGAGCCTGAACCATTATTTTGAAGTCGGACCCACTTAGCCTCGCCTATTGGCTCGCTCAAGGCCTACTCAAAGCCCGACCTAAGGTCCGGCCCGCCGAAGACCTAGTGTAATTTTTAGTAAAAAATAATAAAATTTTGATAGGAAAAAAAAATGTTCAGACCCGACCCGTCCAAGACCCGAATACCCTTGGACCTGGATATAATTTTCTGACCCGACCTAAACTTTGACAGGAACCCAGATGGCCTGACATGGGCCATGCCCAATTTACCCACTATAAGTTCAACTTTACCCACTATAAATTCAACTTTACCATGAAATAATACTATAAATATTCTAACTTTTCATTGTAAAAATTTATATAGCATTGTAGTATTATATTATAAAGAGAATTAAAAAAAAAAATTAAAAACATGAGAATTAAATGAGAGAGGAGCCCACGTAAGAGTAGAAGTTGCAAAAAAAAATTAAAAACGTGAGAATGAAATGACAGAGGAGCCCACGTACGGGAAGTAGTTGGAAAAAAATTAAAACAAAAATGTTTGAGGTTTTAAAAATTTTATTAAAAATTTTATCAAATGCCTTACATGGGTATAGAATCTACATGAAACCCATATGAGTGTTACATTCATGTGAAACATTTGATAAAACTTTTAATAAAATATTTTAAATTTTTAACATTATTCAAATTAAAAATATGAGAATGAAATGATAGGAGCCCACGTACGAAAAGCAGTTGACATGTTCAACCAATTCTATGCATAACAACATATACATATACTGTAACCGGAATAAAGTCACTGTAGACCTCCGTCCCTGCTATACCACATGTACTGTAACCAGAATAACTACCAAGCCTTACCTTACCAAGTCTGCAGTAGCCCTTGGGTTCTAGGCATTTCTAGCAGATTGGCTTTGAATAAAGTCCCCGACCTCTGCAATTAGGTACCATAGTTGGGGCAATTCAGGAAAGATACAGAAGCCATGGATGGCGTTTGGATACTCAATCAACTTCACTTCCTTCCCTGATTTCTTCAACCCCTCAACGTACCTCCTCTGCCAGTCCTGTAACGGATCACCACCACCAATCACCACCAACGTCGCCGGAAACTTCACCGCCGCCGACACATCACCACCACTCACCGCCTCATGGTTTCTGTCCGATCCTATTGGCAAAAACAACCTCCACATCCAGTCTGTACGTTTCACATTCAGAAATGGAGCTCTACTGAGCCGGAGTTCCGATTCACTGCGCTCTTCTCCACCGAAGAACGGCTGTATCTCTACCAAACCAATAATATTCAGCTTCTTAAACTCGTGTCGGCCGTATCTGACCGCCACGTGGTGGGCTATGTTGCCGCCGGCGCTGTCGCCGGCGAGACAACAACGGTTGAGATCAATGATGGAGGGTAGTACGGCGTAGTTATGGGCGTCGATGAATTTGAGGGTTTCAAAACCGTCGTCGTATTGGGAAGGGTAGCGGTGGTTGGGGGCGAGGCGGTAGTTGACGGAGGCGACGGTGACTTGGAGTTGAGCGGCGAGGTTGCGGCAGAGATGGTCGTAGATTTTGGAATTGGCGGCGGAGGAGAGGAATCCGCCGCCGTGGAAGTAGATGAGTAGAGGGAGGAGGGTGGTGGTGGAGGAGGAGGAGGGGAAGGAGGGGAGGTAGAGGCGGAACCAGAGATTGCTGGAAGGGTCGACGGTGATGTCGGAGGAGGAGACTCCATTGATGGCTTTGGAGGAAGGTGGAGATTTGGGTTCAAGATTGCGGACGAAGCGGAGGATGCGGTGGGAGAGACGGCAGACGTCGAGTAAGAAAGTGCCCAAGTGGACCACTAGGCGGGTCTTCCATGGAAGCTCAGCAGCACCACATGAACTCTGTTTAACGTCCATTCCTCAATCCTGTCCTGTCTCCTCCTCCCAACAATGGAAACTGATTTTTTGTTATGTGACCACTGCCAGATGAAGACCGGCAAATTCCTCCTTAATTACACATGGTTGGAATAGGATCTAAAGTCAGAACTGATGACCTGTTTATTTTATTAAATATTTTATATATTTTATTCATAAAAAATTAAAGTGATGTCACCATTGACCACCAAAATAAGAACAAACTGGCAAATCTAAGCCCCGGTTTGGTGTTCATGTTAGGCTTCAAAAAATTATAAAAGGATAAAAAAAAAGTTTATCATTCCAAAGTTAAAAAGTTAAAAAAGTCTAACAAAAAAATCAAACAAATAAAAAATTCTCAAGTTAAAAAAGTTAAAAAAATTAAAAAGTTAAAAAAATTATTGCCAAACGACCCTTAAATTAAAGGTCAATTATATTTTGGAATGATTACTTCCTTATTTATTCATTTTTTTTACCCATAATAATATGAACGGTTTATCTCGTAGCAAAATTATTTATATAAAACATTAGTTTCAACACATATTGATAAATAAATAAATAAACAAATCACATTTTATTTTATAAAATAAATGATTATAGTTGTCGTCTATTTCAAAAAAAAGATTAATTTATTTTATGCATATGTCTAGTGACATTTGATGAAAATTAATTTTTTTTTATACATTTAATCTTTATTGTTGGACTTATGAAACAAATGGTTTAAATCATTGTTATGAACCTGAGATAAGACCCATAAAATAGAGTATAAAGTGATATAATTGATAGTGATATGGAAATGAGTCATTCTCATTAGGAAAATGCTAGAGGCTCCAAAATTTCTACCAAATATTTTACCAAATGTCTCACATAGATGTGGACTTCACACTTAAGTGGGACCCATCTCATGTGAGATATTTAGTAAAACATTTAGTAAAAATTTTGGTATCCGTAACATTACTCGTCTCATTATACATTGGCTCCTCCGCGACCCAGCATAACTCTCATATTGTGGGCTCACTCGCGAGAGCATTGTGTTCTCGTGTTATTTATTTATAGGAGTGGGGTTGGACGACATCTGGAGCTTACCACGGGTTCTAGTTTTATTATCTGAACCGTTTATGCTTTAGGACATTTTGTTTAAATCATCCATAAAAAAAAGAAATTAAAGGCAAGTTTAGGAATTAGTTTAAATAGTTAAAAAATCAAAAAACTACTACTAAAAAGCCAACTATTATTTTTACTTTTTTACATGTCTTTTTATAAAAAACTAAAAAGCCAACTAAAAAAACTTGTTCTCAAAACAACCCTAAGTTGATATGATATTCGCAACTATATAATTTTATTATATTTGTCTTCGAGACAATGTGTGATCTATTTTTAAAATCATTTTTATTATTCATTTTTTTGAAAATAAATGTGATAAAACTATGTGCTTTCTATATCGGATCGACTTGATTTTTGTTGTGAAAGATCTAAATATGGTGACTTAGCAAATAAACAGCTCAGATGATTGAAACGAAAATCGTGATTTACCTCGTGAACATGAACAATGACGTCCAACTTTATATATATATATATATATATATGTATATGTAAATGTAGGAAATTCTACAATACAGTCTTTAAAAAAAAGGTGTATCTATGTTCTTATTACAATTTTTTGTTATAATCTATTATGTGTTAGTTATGATTTAATTGTGATCTATTGTAATTATTTTTTATGATTGAAGAGGTTTTATATTATGTTTCCAGTGATATTTAGTTATGAATTATTGTGGTCCCTTTGATGATTTGTTTATGATACACAATAATATCAATATCACAAAGGGAACAGTTTCTTTCCAATTAATTTTTCAATTGGAGCTTTTGGGCCTCTCTAGGCCCACTACGAAACTTACATAGATGATTTGAACTGTCAAAGCGTAGGGTTCGTACTTCATTTCTGTAAAAAATTATATTGATTAGATATCAATAACTACTTGATCAAATCACATTTGTGCCAATAATTTATTTTTAAAATCATAGTTATCGTTGGTACAAATTTGATCCGATTAAGTGATTATCGATATCTGATAAACATAATTTTTTCCAAAAATAAAATACTCGACGAGATCTACACATTAAATTATTCAAATTTTCGATATGAATTCCATAACCAGCAACAAAACCTATCAACATGTTATAATCTGATTTTAAATTGAAAAAAATGCCTGAACACTATCACAAAATCTCATAAATAACTTATGATACACTTTTTTTTTAGAAGTGTATTGTAAAATCACTTGACAAATGAGGACAACAAAATGGGGTATCAATGGTGCTATCATATTTTGTATTATTTTTTTTATTTTTTATTTTTTATTTTTTTTGACGAGTACTTGAAGAAGGCCGACAAATGCGAATTAAAGGTCAATTATACATGAGAGGGCCTGCAAATGCAAATTAAAGGTCAATTATGACATACTATTTTTTTAGACCCGCCTCTTAACGGAAAGCGAATTTTTTATATGTGACCGCTATTAGAAGAAGACCGTCTAACCCAAATTAAAGGTTAATTATGGGGGAATTACATGTGGTGGGAGAACCAAAAAAAATTACACTCCATAACTTTTATTTGCATCTCATTATAGATACATTTACACCTTATGTGTTTGTAATTTTTTTTTCCCATTCCTCTACTTATATGTAATTCTTTCTTAATTATACACGAAATAAGATCTAAAATCTAAATTAGAGGGTACTGTTTAAGTCTGTAAACTTATTATGGGTTTTATTTTAATAATTTGAACAATTTATTTTATTAAATATTTTGTATATTTCATTCATAAAAAAGTTAAAAGTGATGTCACCACGCACCACCACCAAAAGAACAAGCCAGCAAATCCAAATAAAAGGTCAATTATATATGGGAATGGTAACTTCCTTATTTATTCATATATATATATATATATATATATTACCCATAATAGTGATATGGATTGCTTATCTCGTAAAAAAAATTATCTGTACAAAATATTAATTTTGACACATTGATAAATAAATGAACAAATTACATTTTATTTTATATAATAGATGATTATAGTTTTCTCCTATTTCAAAAATAAGATTAATTTATGCACATCTCTAGTGGCATTCAATAAAAATTAATTTTTTTGTACAATTAATCTTTATTGTTGGCCTTATGAAATAAATTGTTTAAATCATTGTTATGAATTCAAGATAAGACCTACAAAATAGAGTATAAAGTGGTATAATAGATAGTGATATAGAAATGAGTTATTCTCATTATACATTGGCTCCTATGTAGCCCAGCATAATTGTGAGAGAGAATTTAGAGAGAGAAATATCTCAGTCAATCAATATTCATATTTAAAAAGTTAGTTACAAAGTCGGTATGTCTCTTCTAGATATAGACTATAATTTCCCTCCACTAGGTATCACATGATATGCACATGATATCCTACATCATACTCTCCCACTCAAAAGAACTTGTCCTCAAGTGAAGGAAAACAAAACACAACTAATGCATTAAAAGTGAAACCAAAACTAAAAAAAAAAATATACAATACAAAAAAATTCCACAAAGAAGAACTAAGCTACAATGAGAGAAGCAGTGTTGATGCAAGAATCATCTGGCAAATAAGGCACAAGGTGTTGGACATTATGTGCAAAAATTTTGTGAACTTCTATTTCTTTGTCACTAGTTATTATGCGGTGGGTGATTAATGTTGATTATCATTCACCCTCTCTTATTATTTTGAACGAGGAGGATTTCTTTTAGTCCATAATCTGGATTGGAAGGTGTTGTTTGGGCTCGGAGGGCCTATTATAGGTCTATTTCGATAATTCAAATCATTCATTTTGTCGATCACTTTGTGTATTTTATTCACATAAAAAATTTGGTCAACCTGATAATCATAACCTATTCAATTTATCACATTTGTCATAAAAAAAATATAGACGACAATTGTATTTTAAAAAATAAATCATTTGGTGAAAAACGTTATAAATTGAATAAGTTATGATTATCAAATCAACATAATTTTTTGTGTGGATGAAATATACGAATTGCTCGACAAACTAAATAGTTTGAATCATAAAAATAAAACTCGTGATGGGCCTTACAGACCCAAATAACACTCCTATTTTAAAAAAAGACTATTTGAAAATTTGATTTTGGCAGACACTAACTAAGTAAAAGTTATGTTAGCAAAGCATATGAGCAATTCTCAAGCAAAATGTAACCCCAGCAACAGCTGTATACGCCGTGTCTTTTTCGAGTCTAATATATGTTTCGTACATAAAAGTTGGACTAACTTTCTTTAATAATAAAGAGTCGTCACTTAATTTTTAAAGAAGAATTAAGAAACCTTTAATGATGAAAACTAAGTCAAGGACTAGTCCGTCACAACTAGAAAATTTCTAGGTTCAAAAGGCTTAGGTACAAAGGGGAAGGTCATTAAATGAAAGCACCCCATTTTTCCCAATCTGAAGATTGGCCTCTACTCACTTCTTATTTTATGATTTTAGTGGTTAACTATTTCATACAAATTCATTTTAAGCCTAAAACCTTTAACTAACCTAAAACTAGATGGTTGAATAAACTAAATATCGTTTATTTTGGATTTAAAGAATAAAGTCACCTCTTTTCAAAAAATGATGATTTCTATGTAAAGAAGATCTTTAATGATCTATGGCCTTAAACTTAATCTAAGATAAATAATATTCATAAAAATCATTCAAAACAATCCATTTTGCAAGAAAAAGCACTGAACTTGGATTATCGAAAAAGATAATGCAATAAGGACACGCATTTGCTATGGAGATTTAGAGGACTTCTTTTTTTTTTTATCAGCAAAAATAAACTTTATTGAAAAAAATCAAGGGAAAATCCTTACATCTTACATCAATGGAGATTTAGAGGACTTACTCGGATGCTCACTTACGCGTCTTTCGTGCAAAACATAAAATAAATATGGCGTAAACATGCAAGTAGTCATACAATAATGAATCTAAGCCCATTTTGAGGCTACTAGCATTATGATTATGTAAGAAAAAGCAAATAACAAGTAATGAAAAGAAAGACATAAACATGCAAGTAATCATACAATAATCAATTATATTTTGGAATGGTTA